ACCAACTACCGACAAAATTAAATGTCCCAATATCTACATATTTAACCCTATAAACCCGGGGCCGAAGGCAAAATTGTTATGTGTAAATGAGCAAGCGAATCACTTAAAGAGCGCGCAAAGCGCGCTCCCTATGTGGGGGAGGGGATGGATGAAAGGCCTCCTGCGCGAACTTTCATTAAATTATTATGAAAAAAAGACGATTTATTGTACCGTTCTCGACTCTTAATCCTTGTCTGAATTCAGTTTCCCCATCCCACGCGAAGCGCGGAAGCTTAGACGTTTCATTAAGTTATTATAGAAAGAAGACGATTTTTTGTATACCGTTCTCTACTCTTACCCTAATTGTCTGAATTCAGTTTCTCCCCCTCTCGCGCGAAGCGCGGGAGCTTCACCGTTTCATTAAATTATTAGAAAAAGAAGACGATTCATTGTACCGACTCTAAATCATTGTCTAAATTTTCAAAAATGTTTCTTTGTCCGATAAAAAGTCACAATTCGAAGGAGAAAAACTTGCTGGCCGACCGACATAAAAAAAAATCCCACCGACTTTAACCCCACCCCCCCCCCCCCCCCCCCCCCCCCCTTTAGCGACGCCTCTGAATGTAGAGTGGCCTGAGCGGGTAGGCACAGGGCGTGGTTCTACACTTACAGAGACACTTCGATGAAGACATCCTTATTTCATGATTACGTGTGTTGAACTGCCCTGGGCTTTACAACTTTAAACCTCCAGGGTTTATTTTACATATAATAATAATAATAATAATAATAATAATAATAATAATAATCTTTAATGGTCCACTCCAAATTTTATTAAACCGAAACGGAAATTTATTTTGCCCAATTGATCGTGAGCCCGGCAGCCACTGAGCAGCGCCAGATCGACGTTGCTCTATCCCTTATTGTTGAACGCCAAACAAGGTAGCAACAACTCCCATCTTTTAACGTCGTTTGGTATGACGCGGCCGGGGTATATCATAGGTAGCAAATAAAGGATGACTAACAGAGGAATGAAAACAAACATAATAGGAGAGGATGATCAAACATAATGATGTGCACCAATCTATAATGATAATGATAACCGAGCCCCGCCAAAATGGGGGGGGGGGGGGGGGGCTCAATGATATCCGAGCCCCTCAAAAAATATCGGGGGGCTCCGTGATGTTATCCAAGCCCCACAAAAATATTGGGGGAGGGGGGGGGGGGCTCCCTAATGATATCCGAGCCCCGCAATAAGTATCGGGGGCGGCTCAATGATATCTGAGCCCCCCCAAGCCCCCCAAGCCCCCCCCCCCGGTTCCTAAGCCTATGTACAGGTCAACGAAGTCTACTTTTTGAAACTTAAAGGGATTGGGTAACTTTGTCTCAGGTTCTGAAACAAAATCCTGGAATGATAGTTAGGGCTAGTTCTGACCGGAAAACGACCCAAATATCGGATTATGGCTAGTTGCCCCAGGGCCTTGTCCTATATACGGATCAGGGAAAAAAAAATACTTGTCAGGTCCTGTGGAACGGCGGGCTTGGGGGCTCAAGCCCCCCCCCCCACACTTTTGAAAAAGTATATGAAAGATAATAAATAGAAAGAAATAGAAAAGAAAGTATGCTCATGCTCATGTGACCGTAATTAAATGCGTAATTAAGAGCTTCCGGGGGCTCTGCCCCCTGGACCCCACCTTGGGCCCTAACGCTGGTCCCTGGATGCTCATCTGACCTTAATTTTAATGCCTAAAACCCCTGCGCTTCCGGGGGCTCCGCCTCTTGGACCATACGCCAATTAGTGACTTGCTAGTGTCATGAATAAGGTATTAAAATATGCTCATCTGACCGTAATTAAATGCCCCTACCCCTGAGCATCCGCCAATTTGTGCTACGCTCTACCTTATCTTAAATACTCTAGCCTCCCCCACTCACTTTCAACCCCATTTTAATCACTTTTATTTCCCATTTACTCCTTCATTAAACCTCGAAACGCCCCCAAATACTTAGGGGCGGGGCCTAGATCACGAGTATATACTAGTAGTGAGTTGGTTGAAGAACAAAGCCACGTATAAACGTATAATCGATTACAACAGTTGTGGGGCCGATATCACGATTCACTTCTACTTTCAAAAGGACTTGCCCATTTGCTTTAAAAATATTGAAGAGAGTTATTATTATGTAATTTCTAGAAAAAATGGCTACCACATGATTTACCGAGTTGCTTCCTTTTATCAAATATACACGTGAAACAATGTGAGGACAGACTGTGCGGATAGCAAACCGCACGGATCCCTCGGACGATCCGTGCGAGCAGAAAACCCGCATTATCGACGGACAAACGACACTGGTAGGATAAACGGCGCAGTCACACCGGCGCGGTTCTAAGTCGCTTTAAATTAGGGGTACTCTATAGTCCAGCCTCTGTCGTTTTCGTTTAGCGCACCCAATCAGCTGATAAAAGAACACACCCTCAACGTTGAAAGTAGACCTAGCCATTCCTCTAAATCTGGGCCTCGAATACGTGTGGACGGAAATTTGAGGATTGCGCGATCAGTGGGGAGACCGCGCTGTGTGTGGGGGATAAAAAGAACGAACGGACTGAATCTGGACTAGGGGTACTCCCGTGTTGGATCCGGGCTAACTCGGACCCGGGGACAACTCGGCCCTGCTGCAAATTTTTGTTGTTGTTGTCATTTTACCCTAACTCTAACCCTATGTGGAAAGGAAAAAGGGGCACTGATCAAAAGGATACTCATTAGCAAAGAAAAGGATCACGTATCCCCGGCCGCGCATATTTTTTTTACACATCTGTTTAGCCACTTCAGTCAAATATACTGTACAAACGACTAGAGACAGAGTCTAGCATTACCCTTGGCAGTTTTGTTGGATTGCTGGAGTTGTACATGACTTGTGTACATACTCGATATTTGTTTCGGGTTATATCCTCTCTTCTCTTTCATTATGTATTTTTGTGTTCTCCTTCAATCTATCCTCTTCTCTTTTGCCATGTATTTTTTTAAAATCTTCAATCTATCCTTTTTCTCCGCCGTTAATTTACTTTGTTTTAATTCCCTTCAATACTCCCCCAGTTCTCATTCGTTATGTATTTCTTTTGTTCTCTTTTATTCTATCTCTTCTCTTTTGTTTTATGTATTTCTTTGTATCTCCTTCAATCTATCCTTTTCTCCTTCGTCATGCATCTAGTTCTTTGTTTTAATATGATAGATTCCCTTTCTCCTTCTTTCTGTATTTCCCTGTTTTTCCTTAGTCTAGATCTATGATACTCTTAGCTCTTTAATTATGTATTTCTATGTTCTTCCTTTGACTTATCCTCTTCTCTTTCCTTACGTATTTCCTTGTTTTTCCTTCTCCATATCCTCTATCCTTGTTTTCTCCTTTCTATCATCTTCCCTTCCCTGGGTGTACGTGCTTGCACACAGTGCGCTGACGACCTAGACCCTTTCACCAGAGCACTTCTTGGAATTTTTTCGCGAAAATGGCTAAACAGTTGTGTAAAAAAAATATGCGCTCCCCGGCCCCCCCCCCCCCCCCCCACTCCGGGGTCGGAATGACCCCATGCGTGTTACCAAAATGTCCTGTAAAGGGGTACTTTTCGTGCGACAAAGTCCGGCCCGAGAATTGTAAAAAAAAGGGTGTATTAACTTTTCACCCGGAGATTTCTTTAAAAAGGGGGTGTTTTTTCCTTTTTTCTCATCTCTTTGGACTCCTGAGAAATTATTCCGAATTTAGGGGGGTACATTGAGCATTTTTCATGATTTAGGGGGGTCTCCAAGGCAGGAAAAGCCTGCAAAGGCCCGCGAAAGGGGGGTTCGGAAGTGTTGGCAGTTAGGGGGGCACGTGCCCCCCGTGCCCACCCCCTGTATGGCTACGTGCCTGATAATCAGATGTGAAAATGGGCATTTCTCGCATTTGAAAAGTGGCACTTACGAGAATGGAAAAAGGGGCACTTCTTACTAAGAGGAGGGCCACCTAGTCAGATTTGACAGGGGCATTTACCAGAGGTGAAAAAGAGGAAGGGGCTCTTACTAAAAAAAAGGATAGGGGCACTGATCGGAAGGAAAAATGCACTTATTGGAAAAGAAAAAGGGGCATGTGTCAAAATGAAAGGGGCATTTATCAAAGGTGAAGGTGGCACTTATCAGAGAATAAAAGGGCACTCATCTGAGATGAGAAGGGGCACTTAAGAGAAGGGGAAGGTGCACTTCAATATGAAAAAGGAAAAGGGGCACTTGTCAAAGTAAAAGGGGCGCTTCTCAGATTTGAATTGGGGCACTCACCAAAGATGAAAAGGTACACTTATGAGAATGAAAAAGGGGCCCTTTTCCAAAAAATGGGGGCAACTGTCGAAGGAAAAAGAGCACCTATCAAGTATAATTTAGTTTAGTTTAGAGGGGCATTTATTAGAGGTGAAAGTTGTATTTTTGAGAAGGGGAAGGACTCTTCATAAAAAAGGAAAAGGGGCACTTATCTGAAGGAAAGAGGGCACTTATCAAAAAGGAAAAAGGGGCACGTGTCAAAACAAAATGGGCAATTATCTGAAATCAAAGGGGGCACTTATTAGAAGGGGACGCGGCACTTAGCTATTACAAAGAAAAGGGTAGGCCTACACTTGTCAAAATTAAGGGGCACATATCAGATTTGAATAGGGGTGAAATAATGTGGATAGGGCACCTATTAAAAATAAAAAGGATTGCGTTCATTTTAATTTAGGGGTTCTTGAAAAACTCGGTGGCAGTGTGCCATTGGGCAGTTATTAGAAAGGAAAAGGAGCACATTGTTTCTATATCGACGTATACGTATAAGCGGGGGAAATTGGGTCAGCTATCGACGTATCAAAGGGTTATTTAAGGAATACCAGAAAAGGTGTGGGCACTGTGCCCCCTTACCCCTTCCTAACCCCTCGAGCACCCCCTCTGCATTTAGTAAGCTTTAAATTTTAGTTGCCACAAACAATGGGGGCAGCGCGCCCGTACGCCCCACCCTGGGTTAACGTGCGTAGATATCGATATCGATATTGGCAGTGTGTTGTGTTAGCTAGCTGTTTTAGCTCATGCAAGGCCACTTCTAATCCAAGTTCGATGTACCAATTTTAGCGTAAAATGGATACGTCCACACGGTCGACGTCGTCTATTATGCTGGCCAAGCAGCTCGCAGGTAAACTCAATTTAGTTTTGTTTTTTGAATTATTTCTCCTTGTAGCGAATTTTGTATTCATGATGTTAGTTGAGTTACGTAGTCGTTGATTCATGTTCATATGTTTCTCTACACAATACCATTGGCAGAGCATGCAATGCATGCAATGAATGAACTGTGCTGTAGATGTACGTACAGTGTATACGGTGTCAATGAGAATGCGCACGGTACATCATGTATACGACCTGTGTGATGCTGCGTGATCCAGTGTTTTCTTTTGTTCGCTCATAAAGTCATAGTCATAGATCTACTCATATATAACGTCACTCACATGAATTGCCATTTCCTTGATGTTTGAAAACTCATGCATAGATATTGAATTGTCTAAGTTCATTATTTTATATTGCAAATTGTCAATCTGACTGGTAAATCAAGTAATGTCCTAACTCCGGGAAGCTCCAACACCGGCGCCGCAGGCGTCAGAGCTTTGGGTGGTTTCGTTGGTTTCTCGTGGGGGCTAGTAAAACAGCCGATTGGGTGATATTATCGTTAAATCTGCAAAGGGAGTACTTACAATTTTTACATCATAGGGTGCACGACTCTTCAGGGCTCAACTCCAATCACTTGAATGTATAATTTGAAGAAGTCTTCGATGGGAAAAAAATGTTAATTCGGGGTACTACACCAACGATTCTTCCATGTCGCAGCGTTGATTCAAAATAGCGATGAGAAGGTACGCATGCGCGGCAGTGGCGAAGAAAATATGAATATTCATGCTATCGCGCGCCGATTGCTCGAAATCGCTGAATATGCACGACTCAAACAAACAAAGCCCTTCTCAACCTCGTGCATATTCAGCGATTTCGAGCGATTGGCGCTCGATAACATGAATATTCATATTTTCTTCGCCACTGCCGCGCATGCGTACCTTCTCATCGCTATTTTGAATCAACGCTGCGACATGGAAGAATCGTTGGTGTAGTACCCCGAATTAACCTTTTTTTCCCATCAAAGACTTCTTCAAATTATAGATCTACATTCAAGTGATTGGAGTTGAGCCCTGAGGGGTCGTGCACCCTATGATGTAAAAATTGTAAGTATTCCCTTTGCAGATTTAACGATAATATCACCCAATCGGCTGTTTTACTAGCCCCCGCCCCACGAGAAACCAACAAAATCACCCGAAACCACCCGAAGCTCCGACGCCTGCGGCGCCGGTGTTGGAGCTTCCTGGAGTTAGTAATGTCCATGATGCTGTCTGAATAACAAAAATCAAAATATTAATTGTCAGCAGGGGTCAGTGACAGTGATGGTCTGTCATTCTGTGCAAACAAAGTCAAACTCAAAGCAAAGCGTGTAGAACTTTATGCATTGAGCTCTCTACAGTGAGTTTACATGCTCTGATTGGCCGATCCGCTCGAGCGGTTTCGATTTTTAGTGAGAGAGGGCCCACTTGAACGTAATGTATGAATGGGTGACCAAAGTTTGTGGACATTTTAGAACGTATTACAAAATGTGATATTCGATCTAGAGTCTATGATTTCTCATGTTCTACACAAATTTATTAATTTCAATTAGGCCTATTACCAAATGGACGGCAAAGTTTTTTATTACAGATTTGTTCAACTAGAAAATATGTCGTCAAAGGATTTCGGAGATATCGCGATCTAAAAATTTGGTGTCCGATCGTGCGTGTGCGCTGCATCTAAAAAGGTCATAAAAACAACGAGACCTAACTTCACGCACGGGGGTTTACAGTTGATTTATCAAAAAATGTGATCCATCAAAAATATGGTTATATCAAAATTTGCAAGGCAAGATATCGTACAATCAGTTGGTACCACATTTTACTTACAATTTTGAGAAAATCTGCTCTCAAATTGAAGATTTTCAGACCCTTATCGGTAGGTTGATAATTTTTCGGAAAGGACACAAAAAATTGCAAAATTTGCTGATCTTTTGTCAATATTTTCACAATTTTGTACCCAATTCCAAAGAAAATTTCATCTCTGGGTAATTTTATGTTCCTCTTTCCATTGGTGATATCAGATTTTTGAAATCTTACTGATTTTTGAGATAGCAAACTAAGGTCACGCGCGAAATTTGGTCACACCACCATACATGTAAGTGGAGAGCGCAATGGTCCAGCCAATACAATAGATTCCACAACACACTGTCAAGCTTTATACAGGTGACGCACTTTTTAATTATAACTGATGCACACTTGGCATAAGTACACACATAAAATAGAATGACAAGACGAGTGATTTCAAGTTGGGTGTTAGTGTTAATGTTAGTGTTAAGAGCAGTTAAGAGCTCTTAAATCGAGCTAAAAATTTGCTGATGAAATTCAGAGCCCGATACCAATATCAACATCGATAGCTTAATACCATGGTGACGTCATCACGATCGCTACACAGACTTGATTTCACGACGATGATTTCAAAATAGTACATAAAATCTAAAGATATTATGAAAAGCTACACAGAATAATTTACAATTATTTCTCTGGTCTTATAAAAACAACTCATTTTACACAAAAGAATATATGAATCACATAGTAAAAGACCTGTTTCACATATTTGTATTTGATTGTCAGACAATAAATTAGCATCTTTCGTGCGTTGACTGTTTTGCGGGTATAACACTAATACCGAACTGGAAATGAACATTTGCTTAATCCCTAGGGGCTAGTGTTAGTGAATAGGATAATCGTATGTAAAATATTAACACCAGCCACACAGGTCGGTTCAGCAGACGACAATTTTGTAAAATCGTTAAGACTAGCTACCGGGAGTTGACGATATTCAGAGGTCAAAGCTTTAACACCAGCTGATTTCCATTTCGGTGTTAGGGCTTGTGTTAGTAAGCAAATAACTAACGTTGGTGAAGGTGATGGGACAAACTATCACTTCCGAGGCGTTCTGGATGTAGCTATCTTTCCAAAGCGAAGCTGAGGAAAGATAGCGTATACATTCTGATCGACGAGGAAGTGATAGTTTGCCATCGCATGAAACCAAAAGGTGATTATTTGCTATATATTCCACATGTAAAACAATTTAACTACAAAAAGGAAAGGACGTGTATGCATCTGCAAATGTACATGAAAGACACCAGGCCCAAATTCACACCAAAAAAGTTAAAAATTTAACCTAACCCCTTGAGGGTACGGTGCGCGCATGTGTTTGCTTTAATTGCGCTCATGGGTAATGCGCGCTTAATTACGCCTGTTTTAGTGCGCTTTTGGATAATCTTCAGTAGAAGTGCGTTGCCCTGTGTAGATAGTACCTCTATTTTCAGTGAAAGTGCGTTGCACTGTGTAGATAGTAGTACATCTACACAGTGTAACAAACTTTTTGCTTCTCCCATCAATAATGGGCGAACTATCTTTCATCACATGATTTACTTTTGACCAATCGGAGAGCAAGATTCTTAGTATGTGGAATATAATGTTTATTAAACACTAACACCAGCCCTAAACACCCAACTTGAAATCACTCAAGGAGTCAAGGGAGATAACTTAACCCTAATAAGGCCGGGGGGGGGGGGGGGGCATTATGGCCCCCCCCCCTCCACGATTTTCCTGATTGCTCGGGAACGCATATGGATGGCGCCCCGCCGCTCGCTGACTTTTTTCTTTTGAGTCTTGCGCAACTTTTAAAAGAATTTTTATGAAAATCAGACCTACGGTTTCTCCTCGCACCAACATTTTATAACATTAGGCGAATGGCAGCCAGCAAAAGCTATTCAGAAGGGCCCTTGTAGGCGCCAATTTAGGAAAACGAGGCCGAGGCTGGATTGACAAACCGGGTAATGCGCATGCGCTAGATGTACCGTAAGCTAAAGTTCTGCGGTACATACAAAGCAAGGCAAAGGCTAGACCGAAAGCTTTAGTCTCTGATATTGATGGTTGTTCTGCTGAGATTACATCTGGCTCCTCTGACCGCCTCTATTAATAATAATAAAGACATTTCTAATGCGCGACATATCCACCCAGAGGGTGCTCAAGGTGATTCTTAGACTTGAGCTGAAGAACGTTGTATGGGGTAGTGCTAATAGTTTGTTTTCACTCTTTACGTCTTGGCTGCAATATTAGTAGGGTGTCTGAACGATTTTTCAATTTTCCCTTTGGGATCAATTTTCACCATTATGGTTGGACAATTAAATAAGACATTTAATCAAATTTCAAGACTCCCCGATGTTTCTATGAAAAGATCCACCTTACAGCCCCTCAAAATCTAGGCAATATTCATCCAATTTTTGTCAGAATCAACGAAAAAGACGTACATGCGGAGCTATTCTGTTTTGCTAAATTCAGCAAAACATCTGCATTGCGCAATATGCAAGCGTAGTAGCGTACGTGTACGCCTGTTGCTTAGCTGCATGCGCTCCTAGAGCGCGATCGCAACCAATACACAAACACGCACATGCTGTCACACGCAGTCTGAATTGCAATTGGGGCTAGCGAAAAAACAAGCCCATTGGTCGATTTCTACGACTTGGACTATAAACGATCAGGCCGTCGGTTCTAAAAAGTGTCAAATTTCAGAGCTAGGATGCAAACAACATTTATAGGCCTATCGCTGTTTTGAGGAAGATATATTTAGATATCGGATATAACACCCTTTTGGAAATATGGAGATTAATCTACCCTTTCATATGACCTCATTTATTGATTATCACCTTCAGGATCACAACAAATAAAGGTTTAAATCTCAATTTATTTTTGTTAACGTTGACCAATTTTGCATGGTCGCGCAATGCACATAGACTGCAGATGGATGCGTGCAATATGTATGGGAAGGACTTTAGGACACATCGGGTGCGCAATCAGATACCCTAATATTAGTAGAGCTAACCAAGGCAGAAGTCAGAGTGGAATTTCCCTAACTAAAAAGTTGCAATAAAGATCCATAAAAAAATTATTTAAACAAATTATATTATTGTTGTTGTTGTTGTTATAGTTGTTCATTTTCTTATTCCATTAAAAAGAATTCATTCTTGATCTCTCTCTCTTGGTAGATTTAAAAAAGCAACCAATGACTGGATTTTCAGCTGGTCTTATAGATGATGATGATATCTACAAATGGACGGTGATGGTGATTGGACCTCCCGAAACTTTCTAGTAAGTAAATGCAAATTTGCAATAATAGCTTTCAACATGTACATCAATGGTAGATAACAACATTGGGGGGCTGCAAGCTTCGTAAGGAGCAAAACTCCTATCAGCTCAGAATCGTAGAGATGTCATTTCAGCTAAACGTAATAGATAAGAGTAAATAGTAATAACAGAGCTGCCAACCATTCCGTTTTTGCCGGAATTACTCCGTTTTTTCCTCTAAATTACGGTATTACGTTTTTTCTTCATAAAATATGTTTTTTAATAATTTTTTTTATTTTTTTATTTTTTTTATTTATTTTTTTAAATTATTATTATTATTATTTTTTTTTACATACCACACGTCAAACAACTGCCCTTAAATGGTGATTTGATCACAAATTCAATAGAAAACTAATTTTAAAACATACTTGAAGAGAAAAATATTCTCCAAAAAAATGAAATGCCGATAATACCAAAATAACCACAAAAAAAATGACCTGCTTGTATGGAAAAAACAGCATGATGAATGAACATTTCTGCATTGGAAGTGTGTCGCGCGTGGTTGTAAGTTTCGTTTTCATGAATTCCTTTTTTTTGCCATCATGATTCCTTTTTTTGGTCGCACAAGGTTGGCAGCTCTGTAATAAGTGAGGGTCATATTTTAATATTATTGACATGAATATTGCAGCATGTAAAATTTTAGTACCATAATCAAGGTTTGGAATACATACTTGTACATGAATGATAAATAAAAATATCAGGGGACCGCAAGCTTCTTGATGAGCAAAACTTACACTATGAACATGACGGACAAAGAAAGAGGACAAAATATACAGTTCCTCATTCTACCCTCAACAATTGCTGTGGTAGACAAAGGAACATCCCTTCACTGCTATCATGTAAAAATGTGTAGAACAGGTGTCACATGCATATTCACCTGTTTTTACGTAATAGCAGTGAAGGGATGTTCCTTTGTCTACCACAGCAATTGTTGGGGGTAGAATGAGGAACTGTATATTTTGTCCTCTTTCTTTGTCCATGATGTTCATAGTGTAAGTTGTTCTCAGTAGTCTGAAAAGAAGTGATGTCATTTCAGCTAAACGTAATGGATGAAGTGAATAATAATAGTGAGTGAGGGTCATATTTTCCATTCCACTTAATTCCACTGGCACGTTAATAACATGATTTGTTAAATTGCTCGAGCAGCAGTTCGCTTGGATGCTGCCTGCCTGACTTCTGAATACTGAAACCAATCGTGTCTATTAAACACAGTGTCAGATTGGGGTCCGCTCGCTATTCATAAGGACCGATATTCATTATTTTAGAAAAGGGTCATTATTCATAAGGGTCCTTATTTATAAGCCCAACTATTCATAATCGAAGAAGAGAAATATTGGATGGGGGACACCCCCACGGCTGTGGCGTAGCTACAGTGTATTATGAATAGCGACCCTCTTCTCGTATTATGCATAGCGACCCTCATCTCACATCATGAATAGCGGTCCTTATGCCTTTTATGAATAGTGACCCCCCTTTCCGTGTTATGAATAGCAGTCCTTATGAGTAATGACCTTCAATGTGAATTATGAATAGCGACCCTCATCTCACATTATGAATAGCGGTCCTTATAAATAGCAGTCCTTGTGACTGGCCAGTTTACCACATCAAGATCACCCCCCCCCCCCCATCCGGATCCCCCACAGTTTCATGTAGCATTTTGGCTGCTTTCTAATGTTATAGTACAATATTTTTCGGATGTACAGTAGCCTACAGTATGTAGACTGATGGTGCAGGTACTCGTTTTAGATTTTTAGACATGTATGCCTTTAATAAATTGGGCTTTGGATCTCAATGGACGATGTGATGAAAATACCAATAATTCTATCATTTTATTTTCATTGTTCACAGTGAGGGAGGATACTTCAAAGCACATTTAATTTTTCCAAAGGACTACCCAAATAAGCCACCTAAAATGAAGTTTGTCTCCGAGATTTGGCATCCAAATAGTAAGTATCATCAAAGGATTATCTCGTGGGGTGGTATTTCGAAAATGATGTTAGCATGAAAAGTAGGTATAGCTAACATAATTTGTATTCTGAAAACTAAGATGCAGCGAGCGGGCATGCACAGAACCTTACGTGGACTTAACATGATAGTTAACATAGTTTTGGTATACTGAAAACTCTTTGAGCAAAGAGTGACAGAGAAGTGAACATAGAAATATCATTGGTGTAGAGGTCCTTTATTAAGTATTGTACATGTACATCGGTCTATTTATATGTGAAATGCATTACCGGTAGACGTTTTATTTCCTGCACTTTTCCCTATTTGGTTTCTGTGAACACTATAATATGATTCTTGGAATCTACAACTTTTTAATGGTAACACAAACTTAGAAAACAAGGAATGAAGTAGCTTTTCATGTACACCTTTGTTTCAAAGGCTTGGACAAAGGTAGTGCATATGAAATGATGATGCTCAATATACACGTAGTCCACATGTAGCTGTTCACGCAATCAAACGTAAAACGAGATTGGCTGAGAGTATAATATTATTACGGTGATTCTCATTAGAGAATCGATGAAAAATGGGCGGTGACCTTAAAAAAGTTAACTCACCCTTAACATAGGTTTCAGAATACTGATTTTAAGGTATAATGGGCACTTTAAATTCTGGAACTTGACATAAAAAAAAAAGTTAACATAATTTTAAGAATACTGGTCCTTGTCTCATGTTTTCATGAATAGATGTACATGTAGTATGTACATATATTAGAGATTTGGTTTTTCCTATTTGTTTTTAACAACTAGCAAGATTCCCATGTTATATGCCATGTGTATTATTTTGCAAATTATTTTCAACAAAAAAAATTGTCGGTTGAGACTTCAGAATGAGATGGGCCTCGATTTGCAAATTATTTTCAACAAAAAAAATTGTCGGTTGAGACTTCAGAATGAGATGGGCCTCGATTTGCCTTTTGGCAATATTGAGTTAAATGCATATCACTACATGTATGTAGGTCTTAGTTTCCTCTGTATTTAATGCCAAAATTTGCAATCAAGATATTGATTAAAAATGATAGGGCATGAACTGGTTTTGGGCATCTTCGATTAGAGTTAGAAGGGCCTAATTCGCCCGATTCAGGAGAGAAGAACCTATCAAAGGAATAGACCAGTTCTGGTCATGCGATTGCATTGTGAAAGAAATGTTGTGCAATAGATCAGAAAAGGTTGATCATCTAGCATATACATGTAAGTATTGGTGTGTACTGCAAGGTTCTGGAATCATCAAAATGATAAGAAATTAGGCCCAGTCTGGGTTAAGTTGCAACCACTGTACACAGAAAGATATATATGGGATCTATCCAGTCTGGATAGGTATAATAATTTACCAAATATATCAATGAGTAGGCAGTTTCCCGGCAAAAGTTGTATCATCACGTATGAGCCAACACATAATCTTTCACATGATTGGTAATAAGAGCTTCCATTTCATTCTTTGAGAGGGGGGCGTTTCCAAAACTGGTCTATACCTTAAGTAATGCATGTGTCTTGTTCACCTTTTTTTCCAGTTGACAAGGAGGGCGATGTATGTATCTCAATACTCCATGAACCAGGCGAAGACAAGTGGGGCTACGAGAGGCCTTCAGAACGCTGGTTACCTATCCACACAGTGGAGACGATACTCATCAGTGTTATTTCAATGTTAGCAGACCCCAACGACGAATCACCCGCAAATGTAGATGCTGCTGTGAGTATTATACCCAAACGTGTAAAAGAGCGATTCCATCCAATGTGTCACACAACGTCATATGTTCTTTTTCCATTTATTTCTTTCAAGAATGATACAAATTCTTGCTTGACCATTTAATAATGTTAATGATCCGGCCAGAAGCAACCATAAGTAAATGGTCATATCAAGAAGATTTTTTAATTTTTCATGAAATTAATGGATAAATGTAATATCATACAGGAAACATTGCATGGAATCCCCATTAAATGCTATGAATTTTGCCATCATTCCATTCCCTATTTCTCTTTTACCCTCCTTCAAAGCTCATTTTCCACATATATATATATATATATATATATATATATGTATGTATTTTTCTCTCTTTTACATGTATTTCTCTCTTGTACATCTCTCTTTTAGTGGTTTTTCTCACAAACTCTTGTTTTCTCCCAAGGAAAGTCATTTGTTGAACTCAAGACAGGGGACCCCAGCTATCCTTAAAATTTAAAAACAGGGAATACAGTTCCCTTTTTTTCAAACCAGGGAAGAGCCCTGATTTAAAAAAAAATCACTCATATCATGGAAAAAGCAGGAAATTTCAGAATGTTGCCAGTCTCCAAGAGTTTCTCTCTTTTCCAAGTGGCGTATCTATTATGATTCGTTAAAGCGACATTTCGCATTGGAGTTAGGTCGAAATAATGAACCTGGAATTTGAAACACCTCCAGGGAAATATCAAGGAAAAATAAAGACACTTGATTTCATTCAATGCTTTGAATCCTGCAAGACAAGTTCCTTTGTTGCTATATTTACAAGTAATAGTTTTGTCTTATCCTTAATTTAATATATTAATTCCAATATGTGTACAACGCAATAGCGTTTAATTGCTATGTTTATATCTCAGAATGTTCATCAAAAAATCTATTATAATGGAAATGTGTTAATGATGTTGACAGCTGCCTGATACTATTTCTTTACAAAATGATGTGTGTATTTTACAGAAAGACTGGAGAGAAGATTACCAAGGGGCCTTCAGGAAGAGGGTGAAAAAGTGTGTGAGAAAAAGTCAGGATACGTTGTAAAGCTTCAAAAATCTTTATATTTGTGTTTTTCCCAGCCTGAAGGTGAGAATTAACCCATTTTTAATATTTTTTTCTTCTTCAAATCTATTTTGAAGATGCACTAGCAAACATCGTGAAAAAATGAATCATAAGATGAATTTTAAAAAAGAAAGAAAAAAATAGTTTGCTGACCTTGTTTACTTCAGTGTTCAGTGCATTTTAGATTGTTTGGTTTAGACACACTTTATGTCAAATCTGGTATTTGATGCTTGGTGTTTTCTTGAACGATAAGGATCTATACAGTAAGTCTGCCACATCTTATATCATACATGTAGTTATACACAGTGCTTAAGTGATTAATCAATCATCATACTGCCCAAAGTTACTTTAGAACTCTCCAAAATAGACCATTCCTCTTTGCAACCAGAGAAGTAAATCTTTAAAGCAGCCAAGTATTTCCATTTTTATGCCTCCGCCCGCCAAAGGTGGTGCCAGAGGCATTATGTAAATCAGGTTCTCCGTACGTTAGTCCCGCTTTTTTGTCAGTGCGCAATATCTCAAGATCCACTTGAAATATGAACTTCGAACTTGGTGATATTATGTATCACCATAGGGAGACAGTCGTGATTAAATTTTGGAGTAAGTAGGTCAAAGGTCATAGAGGTCAAGTTATGAACATTTCAGGTATTCGCCTCGTAATCGCTATATCTCAAGAACCCACAAACCTAGTGATAGTGTGTATCACCCTTGGTAGACAATCTGATTAGATTTTGGTGTGAGTAGGTCAAAGGTCAAAGACCAGAGAGTTCATAAATTTAGCAGGGAGTATGATAGTAAGCTTCTGGTGAAATGTAAGGAAGCGGGAACTGCACAGTCAAATAGCTATTGTTGAGGAACGATTCCTCTTTTTCTGCCTTCAAACTACATGTAGTGTTACAAACCCAATATTCCTCTTGTTTTCTGCAGAAATCTGTTTCAAAGAATTTCAAATTCACCAAATTCCAAAATTCCCATAAATTCTTGAGATCTCGGGGGTGAACGATTTTAGATGAAAACATAATCATTATGTTATAGTGCAGTCAGTTCATAATACATTTTGAATTATATGTCTATTTCTTTTAGATGTGTTTTGATTTTGATTTTACCAAAATAATTAAGTCAATACAATTTTTTTCTGTTCTCTCTTTATTATTTTAAGAATGTATCCTCTTCAGTGTATAAAACCGAAAAAGAACTTTGATAAATATTCTAGAACCAAAATAGATTTGGAAAGGACAAATTCAGATATGACTGGTACTGACACTGAGCTATGCTGATATTTTTAAATTTATTTGTACTAAAGTAATCAAGTCATTTTGATTTTATTCTGTTTTCTCTCTATCCCCATTTCAGGAATATGTATCTTCAGTGTATACAAAATATAAAGAAATTTGTAAAATACCGTAAATCTCTGTGTATAAGGGGGTGCACCTTATACACAGGTACAGGATATTTTGACTCCTCAAAATGCTACACTAGTGGTTTTTGATAAGCCTGAGTCATTACGTTTTTTGTGCTAAACGTTTAACCGTTAAATGTATAACCTTGCCGATAATTATTGTTTTTAGATCTCCGTAGGGGTAACAAAACCTTGCCGATTATTATTGTTTTTAGAGCTCTGTAGGGGCAACAAAACCTTGCCGATAATTATTGTTTTTAGAGCTCTGTAGGGGCAACAAAACCTTGCCGATAATTATTGTTTTTAGAGCTCTGTAGGGGCAACAAAACCTTGCCGATAATTATTGTTTTTAGAGCTCTGTAGGGGCAACAAAACCTTGCTGATTATTATTGTTTTTAGAGCTCCGTAGGGGTAACAAAACCTTGCCGATAATTATTGTTTTTAGAGCTCTGTAGGGGCAACAAAACCTTGCCGATTATTATTGTTTTTAGATCTCCGTAGGGGTAACAAAACCTTGCCGATAATTATTGTTTTTAGATCTCTGTAGGGGCAACAAGACCTTGCCGATTATTATTGTTTTTAGAGCTCTGTAGGGGCAACAAAACCTTGCCGATTATTATTGTTTTTAGATCTCTGTAGGGGCAACAAAACCTTGCCGATTATTATTGTTTTTAGATCTCTGTAGGGGCAACAAAACCTTGCCGATGATTATTGTTTTTAGAGCTCTGTAGGGGCAACAAAACCTTGCCGATTATTATTGTTTTTAGAGCTCTGTAGGGGCAACAAAACCTTGCTTGTTTGTTGTTCCAACGTGATAAACGTCAATTTGATATTTCTGTTGTCTCTTTATTCCCATTTTATTCCCATTTCAGGAATATGTTATCTTCAGTGTATACCAAGGAAAGAGAAACTTTGGAACTACCCTAGAGCCAAATAAGGTTTGGAAAGGACATACGGTATTATAGTGATGTGTTTGGGACTGTCATGCTGCTATGAAAGAGATGTTTTACGAAGTAGCGATAGACAGAACACGAATTAGATTTCCCCTCATGGATACAGCACACAGAATATGTAGAAACCTGCTTTCATCAACTTGATCACCGCAAGAGGATACAGAGAGGAATTTCTGCGCGAAAAAAATAAATTTATACCAGTTAATACCAACTAGAGTAGGTATCGAGCCTTACAAGGTATGAAACCAATGAGAGGAAAGATCAAAATGAATAGACGTGTGAATAGAACCAGCTCAGAAAGATAAATGAGACTTCACAAGGAGGCAGTTTGGCGACTTAGCATATTTTCTTATGTTTTGAATTTCCGGATGTTTTTCTTTTTAATAGAAAGGGAAAGGAAGAGTAACTGAGAGCCCTTCAATTTCTCGGGAGTACATTTTTGTTGTGTCCATCTCCAATTTAGTCCTGTAAATACGAAGATGGATGAGTTGAGAAAGAGAAACGTCTGCCCCCACATCTGCAATATGTTGTCCGAGGCGAATGCCTTGGACTTGTAGTATATGTGTATTTGATTCTTGAATACTTCATTGTAAATGAATTGTAGTGAATGTTGTGTATGCTGCAGGCATGCCAGACCTCTGGAAAATGGAATGTTTTTTGGGGGTCTTTGCCAGAACCGTCCATGTAGTTCAAGCCAAGCCAGGGAAATCACAAGGTTAACTACCCCCTCCCCCCCCCCCCCCCCCCTCCCTCTCATGTCTTTTTTTGAAATATCTGTTATTATTGAGAGACATTTTAATGCATACAAAAAGTGCACTCTTTCTATCTCTGACCAACGATTAATCCTAAATAAAGTTTTTCTTGTAGATTCGTTATGGCCATTATAACTTTATTAGAACCCTGAAAACTCTACTAACAGCTCTTCTGACAGCATGTTGAAGGTACTATTCAATATTTGTAGATTTACTGATTTGTTTGTACATTGATGTAATTTGAAATGCAGAAAATGTTTCAAGTAAAATGGTAGCCAATTTTTTGTTTTCAGAAAAAATGAAATTTGTCTTCTTTTTTTTTTCTTCTTCTTCTGTTTGCTCAAACAGCATAGAAAACATGGCATGCAGAAAACTTGCCCAAAACAAAAAAAATCTGATTTCTTTTTAAAAGAGATTTTCACTTACTATTGTGTTGTGTTTAGTTTAAAATCCTTCAAAATTTATGCTTATGTTTATCTCATGATATTCCGAATATTGAATAATACCTTTAAATATTGCAAAGAAAAGAAAATGTAAGCATTGAATGGTGGAGGTATATTATTGTGTCATGAATCGTTCAAGGATTGGCAGTTGTAACCAGCCATTCCCACATCTCGATCTATCCCTATTGAAAATCTTAGCTCTCAAGTCTCTCGGGATCCTCTAATTGATGTGTATTTAGAATTTGTGTTTCTTTCACGTTCAGAGGTCAGCGGTCATCAGAGACTCGTGTATAATAAGACATACTCAGCCGAATTGTTTCACATGAAATGTAAAGACTTGTACAAAGTAAATCCTTTTCTATCAAACACTTCCATTTGAGGTACATGTGTCTGTATTACACTTTTAAGCTGTAGAGTGGTCCCGTGTATACTGTTTTGGTGTTATTTGATCTATAAAGCCTTTATCACAACTTATGATGCTACTCCAACCCATGTTTGGAATAAATAGCATTTAGGGATTTATATGACATTTAAAGATATTTCAATACCTACTTTTCAATTTCTACTTTCTCCAAATTTCATAGTAGTTAGATGTGTATCATGTGCTAGGGTTGTAGTGTTGTCGTGTAATTCCTATCGCGTGTATTACATTGTCACAATATGTAACCTCATTTTCATC